TATATAGTGTATAATAGAAAAGAATCATGATTTCATACCTCAAATAAAATGTGGTAAATTGACATATGACATACTCCAATCGAAATGTCAAATTTATTAATATTTGAAATTTCCTATGGAGATGCTCAATATACTAAATTTGAATTGTTTGTGGGATTCATAAACAAAATAATAGGAAAATTTTATTTGGCATACTACTTTTTGATATGCTAAATTTGACATAGCTTATGGTATGCCAAAGGTCAAGTAGGCATTTGAGGTATTGGTTGGAGGAGTTTTTGATGTCAAAAATAGCTGTTGCAAATGCCACATAAGATTTGACATATCGATTGGAGATGCTCTCTACTTACTCTTTGAGCTCATTTGATAAATAAGTCAAGCATGAAAACCTTTTGACTTTGCTCGTTGAATTTGTAAACAAGTTCGTGAACATATGTTTGTCGACAAGACTCATATATTAAGAATTGTTAAATTGATAAACTAGAAATAATTTTATCACAAATATATAGTCAATTTCAAGCTTGAAACTAACATTAATAAAAATAAAAGTCCAATACAAGTAACACCTCACTAGAAATAATTTTATCACAAATATATAGTCAATTTCAAGCTTGAAACTAACATTAATAAAAATAAAAGTGATTTTATCACAAATATATAGTCAATTTCAAGCTTGAAACTAACATTAATAAAAATAAAAGTCCAATACAAGTAACACCTCACTAGAAATAATTTTATCACAAATATATAGTCAATTTCAAGCTTGAAACTAACATTAATAAAAATAAAAGTGATCTTTTATTTTTATTAATGTTAGTTTCAAGCTTGAAATTGACTATATATTTGTGATAAAATTATTTCTAGTGAGGTGTTACTTGTATTGGAGGATTATTTTGTATTTATTATTTTTTATTTAACCTTGCAAACACAAACATAGCACGAATTAAAATAAGCAATCCGTAGCCGCCAGAACAAGGATATTATCAGAAATATGATCAAGAACAGTATCCTTTGCTAGATGACTCCTAAAAAGTTTCGCAAGAACATTTGCAACCTAATTACCATGCATATGAGGCTAAGACGTGAGGATGAGTATTGGTGGAATTGTGTGGACAAAAATACTAGTGAAAATCATACATAAGCAAAATAATTTTTTCAACCAAGCCTTTTATGGCGATTGACACTAAAGACAAATCTCACTATGACACGTTTCAAAGATGGCAGGTTAATAATGGAGGGTTAGAGCAAGTTTCATTGACAACTAACAATCGTTGAATATTATTTTGGACTCAACCCTAAAGTTTCCTAAAAAGTAACTATGAAGGTTTTCTTTTTTCCTATTTTTCGCATCACTTCACCAAGCATTTATTATAAAAATACACCACAAGGCAATGATGTTCATCCAATGGTGTATCACGTGGTAAAAGCTTAATTGCACTTTATTCTCTAGTAATAAAAGGTTTAATTCTACTTAAAATTTTTGTATTATTACATATCATTTAAAGCAGGAGTGCGATTCAAAAGTGAAATCTTAATGACTTACTTTTCAAGTCTCTGTCAATATTCTTACACCCTTAGTGCATAATTGAAAAACTATATTTTTTTATTGGATAACTCATAATATATATATATATATATATATATATATATATATATATTAAATTACATTTTATCCAATTATCATTATTAAATAAAGGGATAAACAAGAAACAGTCACAAATTTACTTACACATTTTATTCACATCGGAACTCTCCCTTCCTCTTTAAAGATGGGGAGGTATGTTATATCTTTGGACTATTGATGTCCTGTGGTCAGGTAAAATGACTTTATTATCTGTGTTGATATATTTTTATTCAATAACATATATCTCTTGAAAATGACTATATCAACATCTTACCACCTTATTTCCAGACAATTGTAAAGTACAATTTATTTTTTACTTAGATAAATGTTGGTTTGAGATTGTGTGGCTGGACAAATAAGAAATGTCATGTAATAAAAAAAAATAATCAAAAAATTTCTGATTTATTGAGACCATATAATTTTTGTAATTTCTTGTTGTATGCCACAAAATGATAGTAGAGGGATGCCATTGTTTATGGTTAATACAAAGATCCGTACAATAGAGGAAGGTAATTTTGTTGGACCAATTTTTTTTTTACTGTGACCGATTTTTGGTGATACATAGAAAGAATAGAGATATATTATTATTTACTGCTTGGAATCTGAAACAGTAAAAACAGGCTGGTCAAATATTCTAATCATATCATGAAAAGTAGATGGTGCTCCCAGCTCTCCTAACATAAGGAGGTGGTTGGGGTGTCTCTCTCTTTGAATTTTTGTACTTTTTATTCCTTTCGTGTCTTTTCCTTTTCACTCCATTGTTTTTTATACATATGTTGGTGTCTCTGCTTGCCAATTTGGTTGGCATAGAGAGGGACATTTTCAAGAATCTCTCATGCCCACAAAAACCAAATTGATGTAGTACTTGAAAAAGTGACACAAGGTAAAAAATAATAATAATAAACAAATACAAAGAGACACAAAAAGATGATGATAGAGTTGGGGACCGTTAGAATTATTATTTCATATTCAATATAAATCGACCACGATTTATAGGATCAAAATATAAGCTCACTCCATTGGTTCCATATTAAATGTCACGGTTCAGAAATAAAATCTTTTTTTGAGGGATATGTAATTATAATATTTATTATTAATTTATCTTAATTGGTATTCATACACCCCTGATTTTTCTTTGGGAAATAAGGACTTAATATTGCTAGAGTACTGTTGGTGATATGTACTTATTGTATTATCCCTTTTAAAAATTAGCAAATTACTCTTTCACGTATGAAAATATATATACAATCAAGTTTAGAATTTTTAAAATTTTCAAAGGTATTTAATGAAAGATGTGAAAAAAGTTGTTTGAACTTTAAAAGTAGACAACTATTTTAAAACAGTCCGAAAAGAAAAGATGAACAACTAAATTAAGGTGGAGAGAAAATATATTTTTTCATTCATTCAAAGGATATTGCGTTAAATTTAAATATTATGTGGCCTATCGGCATCTCTTTATTTTTTAAAAAAATAAAAAGTAGAAAGTTCGAACCTCTTAGAGACACATAGAGAGTTATTTGTGAACGAAAAAAAAAACACACATAAATTTGTACATAAGTTATTACAATAATAATAAATCATGTTATTATTATAGTTATTATTAGTTATTTTGATGAGTGTGGGTCCAAATCTAGGGTTGGACCTCATTGAAATGGGTGCCAAAAAATGCTGTGGCTTATGACAAACTTCACATGCCCTAGTTTTTGTTCTGTAAAAGTCAGTCACCATCACTTTCCATCATCTTCATCTACACCAGCTCTAGCCATGGAATTTTTGCTTCTTCCTTGTGAAGTGTATTTATGTGTGTACTTGGTCTTTGAGTTTGCTTTGCACCTGTCACGTGACTTCAACAGGGTCATTTAAAATGGACAATAAAAGTGAAATGTTAAGTTTAGGTGGGCCTTAACGGAGAATGTATTCGGTTTATGAGAGCTATTCGTTTCGTGCGTATTATGCACGCGTCGCGTATATTGTGCATGGATAATTCTGATGTACCCAGTGTACGGTGCACGGAACACACCAAATACCTTCTTCTCCTCAGTAGGATTTAAAATACTCATCTTCTTTATTAAAGTGCACTTGTTAATAATCTATTTTCTTTGTCACACAAGGACATCTATATTGTCCCTGTCAAAATAGGATTGAATATTATCAAAGTAACACAATTATTGCAGGGTTGAAATGGAATTAGGGAACTAGTATGAGATGGAAATGTAAAATTACAATACACAATTGGTCCATGTTAACCACCACTTATTTTAAAAGCTTGAATTTCTAAGACAAGTTGTGTAACATTTAAGTATTTATGTAAATTCTAATGTGTTTCACCAATCGATTACAATTATAATTGTAAGGATAAAAATAAGGTTTGAACTCTGTTAACAATCATATGCTTTATAAGCTTTATTATGGACAAAATGCATAAAACTTCCTTGAACTTTTTCAGATTTGTTGTAAAGGTGTTGTCGAGAATAGACGAAGTCTAAGAAAAGGCAACCTCACGAGTGACGGGGAGACGCGGATTCATGAAAAATGTCTAAAGGGACGCTGGCCTTCCAAGATGACTCCCACCAGATGCGGAACCAAGAATTTGGTTAAGGGGCATATGACTTGTTTATCATTTTCAGTAATAGACAACGAAAATACCAAACAGAAAAAGATTACCAAACATGTCCAAGTGTACAAAATTCTAATAAATTTAAAGAATAAGTAAATAAAAATGAATACGATGTATAAATCATATATTAGTGTAATAAATGAAATTTTTAAGAAGAAAGAAGAAGAGAGAGAGAGAACTTTGAAGGGGAAAAAAAGTTAGGTTTCGGTTAAAAAAATGAAATATAATTTTTTTTTTTTTTTTTTTTTTTTTTTGAAGAGAATAAAAAAGAAATTTGTAGAAGAATAAGAGTAAGAAATAAAGAAAATTTTAGAAAAAAAAAAATTGGGGGAGAATTTAATACTATTTTTGACTAATTATATATACCCGGGCCCATGCTAGCTCTGCCTAAGAAAATCAGGGTTGACTGATGATTGACTAGGGGAAGGTACTCTCTGAGATGGTTGTCTTTGCTACAGCCCACAATCCTGGTTGGTACTCTCCGCAACATCTTTCACTTGGTTCGCTATAGCGATGGTGTGCTATAGCGATTGTGTGGCTATAATGAAATGACTCGAGAGTACCTTCCCTAATCAATGTCCACAATTTCCTACAACACCCACCAAGTGTGCCTTTATGGACTATCGGAATTGAAACCCTTATCTACTGCGCCACCCCTGTAGGTTGCCTCATGTGATTTATCAATCACTATCGAACAATATATATATATATATATGGTATATATAACCATCAGTCACACGACTCACACACCATGCCATATTTTACTTGAACCATTCACAGGGACAGTTATGTCCCCTAATATCTTTATAATTAAACGTTCATTAATCCCTCCAAAATTCATGGAATATGACAATCATACATCCATTACAAAAAAAAAAAAAAACCAGTTTACATACAATAGGGCCTTCTTTCCTTACAATTCTGTGTACACTGTATGGTACATCTGCTATTGATAACGATTTTTCAGTATTCTGTAATACTCTTCCAAAAATTACTCCCCCCCAAAAAAAAAAAAATATGAATGAAAAGTTTGATGAAACTCAAGAATTCAAGTAAGCTTCCCAACCACCCTTTTCTAGCTTCTCTGCCTTCACCAAAACATCATCTCTTGTATCTTCTTGGTACTGGGTCATTCTGCAAAAAAAACAAATATAAAGCAGTCAAATAAAGATGTATCGGAAAATTTGAATAGAGAGATAAAGAGAGAGGGACCAACCTTGCTTGTAGGTCAGCATCACCAACTCCCAACATTCTTACTGCCAACAAACCTGCATTTGTGGCATTGTTTATGGCAACAGTTGCAACGGGGACACCCCTAGGCATCTGCATTATTGCAAAGAAATACCAGCTGAAGGCTTTTGGCAATAAAGTAAGAACCGTTATGACCAATGAAATGAAATATAAATATATATTTTAGCACAAATGAAATAAAATAAACAAATACGGTTTTTAGACCACACAAAACAAGCTTCGGATGGTACACGAGGCTGATTCGATTTCATAGATATAAATATGGAGGAGGGGGGGACAACACATTAAACAACCTCACAACCAATGAAATGAAACGTTTAAACATGAATAAGGCGAAATTGAAACAAACTTCAGAATATAAATGATACAGGCTGAATTTCATAGATTGGCATCATGGAAGTCATATTCCAGAGACGTAAAGCATAATGAATCATTATTCTCGTCTCTCCATCCACACATTATAGAATTGGCAAAGTTTTTTTAATTTTGGATCCAAAACAACTGGGAAATTTTGTAGCAATGGAAGTACAGAACAGAGGGCATTACCCGGTACTGCCCCTATAAATATTATATCTATTTCAGGAAATTCCAGACAATAAATGATAATTCCCGTAAAAGAATGAAACAAAGGGTTTGAATTCTGCCTTTCCATTTCAGGTAATACTCTTCAACATCAAATTTAAGAAAAACAAGTTCAAAGTATATTTGCCAATATTGCACAATCCCTATTAAAATTTTGAACAAGGAAACTATACCTGCACAATTGATAAGAGGGAGTCCAGTCCATCCAATGCAGAAGCACGTACAGGGACACCAATAACAGGCAAGGGGGTTAATGCAGCTACCATGCCTAATCATGCAGAAGAGCTTATTCATCATCCAAAATCTGATGAATTACAACACGATATAGTAGTATATTGATTATGCCTTATCCATTACTAACCTGGCAAGTGGGCTGCACCACCTGCGCCAGCAATGATGATCTGGATCCCCCGCTCCCGTGCAGATAAAGCATAAGAAAACATCATTTCAGGGGTCCTATGCGCTGAAACTATTCTCACCTGCATAATTTAGTTCATTAAGGCTTGGTAACCTGGTGGATGTAGGTAACATGTATAATGGCTGACAAATGAAATTCCAATCCGATGCTAGTGTATGGAAATGTAACCTCATTAAGGACACCAAAATTATTCAAAATTGTTGCAGCAGCCTTCATAACTGGAAGATCTGAATCAGAACCCATAATGATCCCGACACGTGGTGTGACTATATCAAGCCAAAGAGCAATGTGGCAAAATTAGTATTTTAAAAAATGGGTTAGTAAAATGTAACCAAAAAAAAAAAAGAAGAAGAAAGATTAGAAGTGTAACATGCAGGCATCAGTGGCACTCAGCCTCAACAAATTATCAATATGTAAATTTCTAATAAGAAAGTCCTCTAACGACCTTCAAATATGTTAGGCAGACTTAATACACATAACTCATGTAGACACCGCATAACTCAAAATGAGGTGTCTACATGAGCACCTCATGCAAAAGAGACCAAGGGAAATTCCAAGCACAAACGTATTCCTCTTTTCTTTATCAGATACTCCTATAGACTGCCTGGAAGTTTGTTTGACACAACGCCAACCCATCTCCATGTCATATTGTGCCTGACAGGGATACGATACACATATTGAAGGGTACAGGCTCCTTTAAAATGCAACATTTCTAACAATTAGCAAAGTCAAATGCCTGATTATCAGTTTTTAAAAAATAATTACTCGACCATTGAACCCATCTTCCTGTGGGCTGTGGGGTTTTGAAGCCGAATATTGATGAATGTTGGCAGGAAATCCAGGTATCTCCACCAGCGGAGGCATCATAAGGAATTCCTCAGGCCAACTTATCATTCTGACCTATGCAAAATTGTATGTATTTCTCAAAAACCTAGAAGCAGAATTTACACCTTTCTTGAATTGTATTCCTCTATGTTTTGACTTTTGAAAGAAATATGGTCAACATTAACATAGAATCTATTTAAAAATTCACTTGAAACTCATCATTGGCAAATTATCTCCCCCTTGGCACATATATTATCAATGAGATTCATCACAAAATAACTACAGGAAGTTAGCAATTTTTTCATGTGCATAGGGAAGATAGTAGAGCTGTGGATGCCTTGGCAAATTTTAGGTGTGACCGAAGTGTTGGTTTTATATCTGTGAAATTTTCCCTGCAGCAAGCAATAGAGCTATGTGGGTCTCGAGAAGGTTGAAAATTTTAATTTACATCAATAATGCCTCTTTTTCCAGTTCAGTTTCATTCAAGTCATTTCCTCACTTGGTGGATAAGATTTGTCCCCTGGTTGTATTCATCTCTTTTTTTCCCACAATAAACTGATTGGCTCCTCCCAACCCCCAGCCTAGGAAACAAAAGAAGGAATGAAAAATAAAAAATAAGGGCCACAAAAAGAAAGATCTAACTGGCTTTCTTAGCTGCTGCCAGCAAGCCAGATAGATAATTAGATGTATAGAACACAAGCAGCAAATGAATGCCACGGACAAATTTTAAGCACCAGTAATAACATAAAAAGAAAATCAGCACAAAAAAATATTAACATTAGAACTATGTAACTACATGACCACTTCACTTGGAGATGGATTCACTACAATCATGCCTTCCCGTAAAAAAGATCGTGTACAGAGATACCATTTACCAATATGCCCTGTGAAAACTGACCTTCAGTCTGATAATCCAAGATTTCTGCCCTCAGCATTGAGTTTAGGTGCGCTTCCACGATGCCCATTGAAGGACCAACAATTGTGATATGACCCATCTTCCGTTGTTTTCTCATTTCTGTAACATAATTACAATCAGGTAAAATATTATAAAAAGGAAATAGAAGGAAAGATACCATAAACGTAAGCGTTAGTAATAATTTTACACAATCTAACCTGGCTTATCGTACCAATGAACGGTAGCCCCTGGAATTCTCAATGCCCTTCCAATCAGTTGATGAGCCAGAAGGAAACCTGGTTCTCCCTAGAGACAAGTGACAGGTTTAATTTAATATTTAACTATTTGCTACCTCTTCTATAACCACCATAACAATGACAAAATATTTCAGTGGATGCTTCTTAGTCTATCCTTGTGAGATGAAATTTTAAAAAACATCAGCAAGCACTTTGAGATGGAGTAACAACATACATGAAATGATTGTGTGAAGACAATTTTTCTTTTTCTCCAGAACATTATCATTCATTAAAAAACCATAACCAGCATACATGAATATCATGGTTTAAGTATATGAACTACAGTTGGAATGTCCAACCACAGTTAGCAAAACATGAGCCCAAAAATCTGTGGCTGGCTAAACAACTATTTAAACAATCTGTGCCTGGATTGTACCTCCTCCCCTCATCAATCCCCGTCCTAGTGGAACAAAATAGCTGTGTAAATGTGACTTCCCTATGGGGGTAAAATACTAATTATGAACAAATATGGAGTTAAACAACTGCTTATGAATTTTTTTTTCCATACTTGTACATGTCGTCGCATGGTTGAGTTATCATTCTTCTAAGACTTTGTTTTGTCCTGCATTTTTGTTTAGTTTATACTCATCACTTCCAGCTCGCAGTCATTGGGTAGTTACTATACATGACCAACTTGGGGTTGATTCCACATGTATTTATGTCATACTCCAGTCTTTTTTAATAATTCGGCTCATCCAACACTGCATCCTCATTTTAGCCATGTGCACTCTGTATATATAATATTTCTTGATTTGATGACCATGCATAAATTTAACCACCAAGTAGAAGCCCCCAACTTTTATCTTTATCTAGTTCTATGACCAACATATAACTCAATCCTTTCCTCATAGCGAATAAACAACCCAAGTAAGCAATTCCTTTGATGTGGTTAAAAATTTCACTAAAGCAAGACCAACGGCATCAGCGAACAACAAGTACTGAACATATCTTTACTCATCCACACCTAACGCAGAAAAAACTGCACTCATATTGGTATTTGGATTCTTGAATCAGATGGTTCTTTTTCAGGCAAGTCTCCTTGAAAGCAATTTGCTTAGTCTAACACAAGTAATCAACATTCATGTATAATCCAAATTGATTTCATTCTCATTTTGAATGCAAGGAAGGAGACATGCTTCGAAAAAGGAAATTTAAGGCCATGTCACTTCATTTTTTTGTTTTGTATATCAGAATAGGTGAGACATGTACTCAAGAAACTCCTTCAAAAGATATCTGCATTGCATATGCGGAGTTGTTTATTTGGCTCAGGCAGTACGTGTTGTGTTCTCGTTTTAAAAATCTCTCATCACTTAAGTTCATATTTCTCCAGGATGGTTGACCTAAAGGGCGTTGGTCCAGGACATGTACAAGAATGGCAATCATTTTGCTCCGTTTGAAACTAGATAGACATTTATATATATATATATATATATATATATATATATATATATATAAGAAGACAATCATTTGTAAAGGAGCGCCAAGCGAGTGCCTCCAAAATTAAGAAGGGTCATCCTATTGTTTTCTTGTGGCTTATATTTCTAAGAAAAATGGGGGAGATCCTCTTTGCAAAATTTTAAGAGATAGGAAGTTGATAAATACCTACTCTAGCTACCACACCTATTCATTTGTGGATGCCATCCCATTTGAGTGAAGGTAAAGACTTTGAAATCCACGCCAATAAGAACTACACGGAACTAGAAGCGATGCAAGCAAAATAATAGCATTTTCCTTCACCGAGAAGCGAATTACCAAAAGGGACTCAAATCACTGATTGCCTCTTTCCCAATCTCAACTTCTACAGCTGAGAAACAATCAGACTCAACATTCATGTCGTAATTTTGTTCCAACGCTTGGAATTTGTTCTCTAACAAAGATTCCAAAGTGATACAAAATATAAAAAGCAAATAATTTTTACCTCATCTTCACCAAGTATATTGTACATCAAAGCAGCTGGAGTTTTCATCGATGGATCACCAAGCGGAAGACCAACAACTGCCCGCAAATGCTGTTCATATTGTGATGTGAAGCAAGATTCAATTGTGTGATGCCCACTGTTATGAGGTCTAGGAGCTACTTCATTCAGTAAAATCTGTTGAGAAGTGAACCCACGAAAGGCAGAACAGTCAGAAGCAACATTTGCCACATAAAAGAAAGTAACATATAACACCAAACAAAAACCATTCCAAAACAAAAACAACCTGACCATCTTCTGTCAAAAACAATTCCACAGCAAACACACCAGCACCTTGTAATGAACTAACAGCTTTGTGTGCAACATCAGTTGCCAATTTCCTGATCTTCCATGGCACGCTAGCAGGTGCCTTAACAATGTGACAAATGTTTTCCCTGTCAAAAAATAAAAATCGCTGGAAACAGGTAAGTGAATGGAATTTATGGATACAGGAAGCCCAAGCAATGCATCTGTCATGACAGTATTGCCAATGATTGAAACATATCATAGAGGATAATAGCACCACTAACAAACTCTAAACAGTGAAGGTAGCATCTTACCTGTGAATAGTTTCAACAACAGGATAGCAAAGGATAGAATCATCTCTTCCTCTAGCCACGATGACTGCCAGCTCCTAAATCAAATAGGAAAGAAAGCCCATAATTCATAACCTGGCCCATTAAATTTGTGCTTTGTTAATTAACAACCGAACAAAGAAATGAAAATGTTGCAAGTAGGCAGTTGGTTTCTTATTTGAAAAACAAATAAAAAACAAGAAACCAAATTGCATCAGATGATGCATAACTCAAGACCATATAAATTTCTGGTATCAACAGTATGTCTATAACGGTAATATATTTTTAGTGGAAAACCTCAACCATAGACAAAATGCATAAAGCATGATACGGATTGCAATATAAGTTGCAGTGTCCCGGAATCAGAAGCAACATACACTTTAAAATGCAAATAAAAGATTTTTTCCTCACAATCTCTGTAAGCTTCAAAATGCAAGCTTAGGCCCAATCTCCCATGTTTTAATGTTTGTGTATCTAGCAGTTCTAAAATCTTATCAACTCTTGGACATGTGTTCCACACACCTTAACAAGTCCATATAATTAGTAAACAGATTCTGTTATTTCAAAACTTGTTAAAATCTTATTGAACACACTCCACCACATGACAAACACATAGTAAAAATGGTGACATGGCTTTCTTTTAGCATATTAAGGGTTTCAATAAATTTTATCATAAAATTGACCGTGTATAACCAAAAAAAAAGGATTCAAGCAGATCGGATCAAGGAAGGAGAGGAGACTTAATAATTGTGTTTACATATAATTATAACATGCATAATGCACATATAAACACATAGCTGTGACACATGCATAATGCAGATATAAACATATGGCTGTGACACATGCATACACATATATCACATCTACACATACAAATATATAAAACACACATACATTTTACAAGGAAAAAATATTGTAAACAAAAGCACCACAGAGAAGCTCAACCCATTTTTAGACACAATGTGTCAGAAGCCAAAAACCAGGACAAACAACTCCATATCCTCACATATGCCTATTCAGGTCCCACCAGATACACCATATGAGAGGGATGCACAACCTTGGATCCTGACAGGTGCTACCACTGACCAACCTTCTGCTCAGCAACCCATGAGATCCTCCACTACCTTAAGCATAATCCTCATTGCCCTCCAATAATAAAAGACCAGAGGCCACCAAATCTCACAACTGCACAATGGAAGAAAAGATGATTGGTGGTATCTTTAGCCCCTCACATTACCACACAAATTAGGGATAATATTTCCCCTTATACCCAAGTTATTTGAAGCTAAGGCAGCAATTAGAATAGCAAAACACACAAAGAGAGACTTTGAGACGCACTCTAACCTTCAAAATACCTTCCCAAGGAAACCTAGGCCCTTCTCCTCCACAAAGCACTCAATAGAACCATCAGACACCAAACCTCCCTTGGTAACAAGAATCTATATCAGAACAATATTTTATTCTGTGTCACTTATCAAAAGAATATTTTAATCTTTTTGTCCACACAGGCACACAAACAGAAGAGCTTGTGTGGACACACAAACAGAAGAGCTACAAAGTGTCTTCAAGAAAAGCATCCTTGGAATTCATAAAATTTATCTCCAAATCCCGAAAAGCTCTCAAGAAACAAAGCTCCCAGAGCATGCCACTCCTAGAACATGACAAAATCTGCGGGAAAAAAAAAAAAGGGCACTTATAACTGTGGGCCGTGGCAATTTTAAAAACATTCAGAAACCTCATCTTCAATGGGACCTCTCTACACCAAACATCATTCTTTTTTTGGTAACTCTGCACCAAACACCATTGCAGAATCTAATTCTACTGGCCTCAAATCCAAAAAAAAACACAAAAAACTCAGGAGAACTCTTTCCCCTTTCAAAAATACCCCTTCCATAGCCCAACTCCACAAGGGAAAGTGATCTCCACTGAAGTCCACCCCTTAGCATAGCTCAGAATTCCCCTTCACAAAAATCCCCCACGTATGATCAGATTTTCCCACGTCCCCAAAGCCATTCCCCCGAGAGCACTTGCCTACACAGATCTCATCCCCCCCCCCCCCCCCCGAATTGCAAAGGATTACACTCTTTCTTCCTTTGAACACTCTTGCTAAACTTTTTTTTTTTTTTTAAATAAAAATATAAAAAAAAATATTTTCCGAATTTTTTTTTATAATTTTTTTTTCTTTCTTAGTTGGTACTCACACACTCATGCCTCCACTGAGGCTCGAACCCCTAACCTCCCTTTGGGAAGTAGGGGACTCGTACCGGGCCACTTGCCTGTTGGTTTATTTATTTAAATTATAATAACACGCCAATGACACTATGCATCGCCAATGCATAATTCAATGAAACATGTGCATATCTTCTTTTCTAGCCTTCAAAATTAGAAAATTTATATATAATAAATTGAGCTTCCAAATTTTAAAATCATAAAACAATATTCCATTTCAAGTCACAGTTGAACTTTTATTGTTATGGGAATTTTGATCCAAATATCCTGAAGTTCAATCTTTCCTATTGGGCTTCAAGAATGTTAAGAGCTACGCTAGACTGGTGGTTTCCAATCAAAGACCAATAAAATAAGGAGAACGAGAAAAAACTATAGCAATTTTTTCAAAATATTTTAGGTGGCAACAAAAATAACCGTTAATATTATGCCTACCAACGATAATTCCTAAATTAGACAATGCAGAGTATTGCCATTGTGATTGCCATTGTGCTTGTGATAAAAATACCAACAGGCCTGTGGCCTAGCGGTATAAGGCTCCTACTTCCCAAAGAGAGGTTAGGGGTTCGAACCTCAGTGAAGGCAATGTGTGTGAGTACCCAACTAGGAAAAAAAAAAAAAATCTATAAGATTTTGCAATTTAAACATATTGCCTTGTAGTGGCACCCATTGGCATAGACCGATGGTGTTACATATCAACTGATACACATATAAGAAATACTTAAATTCATAAGCAGAAGTCAACAGCAGGTTGCCAACTTTACTAATTTTCATGTATACTGGAAGGAAAGGAAACGGTTTCTGTTATAATAGCAAACACAAAAGTACAAGGCCAAAGCAGAAATGGAGAGAATTATATAAACAAACACATCTAACCATCCATAATAGAACGCAAATCGAATAGTGATTTTAAAAACATTTTTCCAGCTCAAAAGTTGGAAAGAAAACAAGGTGTCAAATGTCAACCAAAGAAGTGCCTTAGAGAACTTGCCTATCATACATCATACCATCAATAAAGTATATAATGTTTTGAGAATTTCCAGAAAACTAAAGGTACTTGAAAATTTGTGTAGTTGCTAAACAAGAGTAACTGTGAGCTTAAAAGAACTCGAAAAAATCAAAAGGTTTTTTACTTTGCGAGCATCTTATTGACCTGACCTTTTTAACTTCAAGGTCAGTATGATCTTCGCAGGAGGTGAGTATAATAACAGGTTCATCGATAACTTATTAAAGTTATGTGACAGTAGATCTGTGTAACCAATGGTGTATCATGCATTTTGGACGCAAACCCACAATTTAAAAGTTCAAAGGAAAATACAGAAATTAGTAGTTTGTAACATATTATCAGACTATTAACAACATGGCACAGTGAATTTCCATATTAGATACAATGATAAATTATAGAAATTGTTCATGGCACATTGAAAATCGTACACTAAACCAAATTATCACTCTAAAGTCATTGTCATGTAGAAGAGGTTAACCTTTACAAATGGAGCCCATTTCTCAACGTATAAGCCGCGATCATATCCTCCAAGAGCTACAATGAGTGATGAACTTAAATGTCAGAAATGAAGCTCTTTTTCCTGGGGAGAGGGGGGTAAGTAATATATAATGACGCTTCAATTAATAAAATAAGGAAATAAATGAATAGGGAAGATTTTTTCTAAATAACATTCACAAGGAAAGAAAAATAAGGAAATATCATGCCTTAACAACATAAGGAAAGAAAAATAAGGAAAAATAAATAAAATCAATTTCCAACACTTGCAAGTTAGGTGCCATGCTATGCATAATTTATTTTCTGATTAGTTGCCATTTGCATGTTGAAGCATTATGCTTATCCACTAATATCAGCGTCGTAAAGCTGTGTTAAAAATAATGTAAACTTCTTGCTGCAAAGTAGCATATTATATTGGACAGATTTTATAATAACTTGGCAGGAGATGTGATTTTCTTTTTCTGGTCTTAAGATGTTAAACTCTATGCTTGTGGTAGACACTACACATTTTTGAGCATATAACAACTAAAGCATATTGTCAGTCGTATTAGAGATGAAGCTGAAAGTGATAAAAAAATGTTGGTGTTTGTCGATTGTGATTGGAGAGACTAGAGAGTATCTTTGAATTATTACTAATGGCATTCACTGAAATCCTCTGCAAACTGCAATGTTCATGGAGCTTATGCTTTAACTCGAGTACTACTCAAGAATTGGAGTAATAATTACTTGTGGACAGATATCCATGTTTTGATTTCAAACCGTATCTTAGAAGGTTTAACACGTTGTTTTCTGTGTTATGTATCCCAAATGAGAATTTTGTTATATCATTATAAAAACCCTTATTTTTTGGGTAAAATGCAAAAGACCCCCTTAACTATTACAAACCCACCACCCCCCCCCCCCCCCCCCCCCCAAAACCCAAATATTTTCTTTTGTGGAAAACCCCCCTGAGCTTACTCAAATCTTCCTTAGCATCTAAAATGCGCTAAGGGTCTCTCGGTGATATTTGTGACTTGTCTGGGGCTAACGATGTGTTCAGTAGCATTGTTCTTCACCTTCGCCGTGTCTCTGACAGTTTTATTGGTATGTATTGGACTGTTTTTGCTGCTTATTGAATCTGTCCGGATTTCTTTTGCTGTAGATATGGGTATATTGCTTTCTGCAATTTTTGATATTTTGATTGGTGTTTTTCAGTCTTGTTGATATTTTTTGAGATTATTTGATATCATGGGTAATTCTAGTGGAACAGATGTGGGTGTTTCACGTACTGACTACTGATTTATCTTTCTCTCAACACACACCTGTTCAACGAGTCACTAGTGTGTTGTTGAATGGGAAAAACTTTGCTTCGTGGTCCTGATCATTTTGTCTCTATATTGGAGGTAAAGAAAAAAACAGGTTGGCTTTTGAGAACCGAAAAAAAAACCTGATATCAAGGACCCTAAATATGCTAGTGGATATGGATAATTGTACCATTTTGGGGTGGTTATTCAATTCCATAGAAGAGCAAATTTATAATTTGTTCATGTTTTATGATAAAACCTATGACCTTTGGACTGCGTTGACTAAGATGTATGCGCATGCGCACAATGATGCTGGAATTTTTAAGTTGTATCGGGATATTTCTCATGCATCCCAAGAAACTTTGGGGTTGTCTATGACATATTACTTTGGGTACTTAAACTCCAGGTGGGAGAAATCGGCTCAATATGAGCTCCTGAGTGAATTTCCATCATAAACAACAACTATTTTGGCAAAATGCCTTGATCGTTAACATACATATCAATTCTTAATGGGTTTGCAATCTAATAAGTTTGAATCCCTTGGAACACAGATCATAATCACATCTCACATGCCATCTTTGTTTGAGCCTTTTGATACTATTGATGGCGATGAGCGTCGACGTCGCTTGATTTAGTCTGTCTTGGTTCCTATCTTTGAGCCTACTCACGTGGCTGATCAAATGGCCTTTGCTTCTAATTCATGATCTCGCTCTGTTGGGGTTAAGATTGTTAGTCATCATTGTAAGGAATCTGGACACATCAAAGCTCGCTGTTTCAAATTACATCCTGAGTTAAAACAGAAATTTGCTAGAAATCGTATCTCTAGTTCTTCACGCACAACTGTTGTTGTTGAGGATACCATTAGTACCAGACCCCCTACTACTTCTCCTGATTTCAGTCAACTTCAGTCTCAGATTAGCCAGCTTCAAGACGAGTTTGGCTCTCTTCAACACGTTGCTAGGGCAGGTGCAACTACATCTACTACTTCCACTGTTATGACTGCTACACATACTCCTATTGCTTTTCATGTTAGGACTGGAAAACCTACTTGGGTGTGGGATTCAGGAGGCAATGATCATATAACTGGTGAGTTGTCAGTTTTCTCGTCTCATGTTGTTCATGCTCATCAATCTGTTTGTCTTGCTGATGGCTCATCCACTCCAATCCATAGTAAGGGTGATGTGTGTTTGTCTCCTGAAATTACCCTAACATCTGTTCTCCATGTTCCTAAATTTGCCTTCAATCTTGTATCTGAGTCGTCTTACCCAAATTAATTGTGCAATCACATTATTACCAGATCGTTTTTTGTTACACGACCTGACTTCAAAGAGGATTTTTGGCAGGAGACTTGAGCGCGATGGATTGTATTACTGTGAGGAGTCACCACCTTTGCAGTCACCTTTTTCTGGTCTTCAAGCATCCGTGTTACCTGATTCAGGCTCTTATGTTTTTTATTTAGACACTTTGCAATTATGGCAGTACCCGTTTAGGGCACATAAACTTTCAGTACCCATGTTTGCTATTTCCGTCATTAATAAAAGCTTGTAAGACTCATAAATCTCATTTGTGTGGTATGTGAACTTTCTAAATTAGGTATGTTCTTCGAATGCATCGTGCTCCTAGTGCCTTTGATTTAATTCATTCTAATGTGTGGGGACCCTTCCCCGTTACTACTTTCTCCGGCCATCGTTATTATTTGACTTTCATTGATGATTACTCCAGGCATACATGGGTTTATTTACTCAGAAAGAAATCTGAGGTGTTTACCTTATTTTCTCAATTCTTGCAAATGGTAAAAATTCAATAACACTGTTGTACGAAATAATCAATCAGACAATGGGCGTGAGTACATCTCAAATGAGTTTCGCTTTCAGCTTAACCAAAAGGGCATCTTGCAACGACTTACTTGTCGTTATACAACTGAACAAAATGGTGTGGCAGAACGTAAAAATCAACATCATGGCTATGGTTCGGTGTCTCTAACGAGGAACGCATGTACCAAAAACCTTTTAGCATATGGTTGTTCTCACTGCCACTTATCTGATCAACCGTACTCCTAGTTGGGTCATTAAAGGTAAAGCTCCACTTCAACTACTTACAACCCGATAGTACTTTGTTCTCTCTCTTGCCTATTCGTTGTATATTTTTGGGTCTTCTATCATGTTTAAAGGGTATCGTTGTTATGATCCAGTATCCAAACACTCATATCACTCTCTTGGTGTTACTTTCCTTGAAGATGTTCCTTTCTATAGCACTATCTTAACTAGATTACAAAGCTATTCGTTGTATATTTTAGGGTATTCTGTCATGTCTGAAGGGTATCGTTGTTATGATCCAATATCCAAACACTTGTATCACTCTATTGGTGTTACTTTTCTTGAAGATGTTCCTTTCTATAGCACTCAATCTTCAATGCAGGACCCTCTCTGGTACTATTAAGAAGGAGACTTCTCCACTTGCTCATCCTGTTCCTATTTTTGAGCCAACTTCAAGGTAGCAGTCTTCTCCTTCCCCTTTGCAAGTTTATTCTCGTCACCCTCGCCCTTAGCCTCCTCTGCCAGAATCTTCCTCGGACTCGGGTAATTCTCCTGCCCATATGGTTCCTAATGCCTCTAAGCCCCAATCTTGTTATCCTTCTTGAATTCGCAATTCTCATTCACTCTTGTGGCTAAATTAACATGGTCTTCTTGTGTCCCTGACTACATCTCATTCTTGGCCTCTTCATCGGATGGATGCCAATAATGCCTTTCTTTATGGTGATTTACTTGAGACTATTTACATGGATCCTCCACCAGCTTTTCAGGCTGAGGAGTATGCATGAAAGGTGTGTCGCCTTTGTAAATCTCTCTATGGGCTAAAACAGTCATCTTGGGCTTGGTTTTCTAGATTCAGTGATGTTATTCTCTATGGACTTTCTGAGGTGTCACTCTGATAGCGCATGTTTCATTCGTCGGCGTCCAGATGGTTGGTGTATTATTCAATTAATATATGTTTATGACATCATTATCACAGGAGATGATTCCGCAAGTACTGCACTGGTGAAAGGAGAACTTGATCAGTTCTTTGACGTGAAGGATTTGGGTTCTCTTCATTACTTCCTTGGTATTGAGGTTGCTCGCTCTCGCCATGGGATATCTCTTTCTCAGCGTTAATGCACTTGGGATCTTCTTCACTATACATGTATTATGGGGTGTAGACAAGCCTCTGCTCCTATAGATCCAAACCTTAAGCTTTCCATTGAGTCTAGGGAGTTGCTTTCTAATCCGACTGTGTATCAGTGCCAATTAGGTCGCCTCATCTATTTGACTAATACTAGGCCAAAGTTGACCTTTGCAACGAGCGTTGTCAGTTAGTTTATGCATGCTCCTCATACATCTCACTTGGATGCAGTTTATCATACATGGTATCTCAAATCTTGTCAAGACTTGGTTTACTCTATGCATCAGGAGATCAGTCGGGGGTTTCATGCTTCAGTGATGCAGATTATGCAGGATGTAAGACACAGAAACGTTCTACTTCTGGCTTCTGTAATTTCTATGGTAATCGTCTTATATCATGGAAGAGTAAGAAGTAGGTCGTGGTCTCTAGATCCTCAGTTGAGGCTAAATATTATGCTATTGCTCAGGGTATGTGTGAGCTCCTTTGGCTTCAATCTATTCTCACTGAGTTGGGCATACCTGTGAAAGGTTCATCTAAATTGTTGTGTCAACAAGTTTGTGATTATACTTGCTTCAGATTTTGTTCTTCATGAAACGTCAAAACATATAGAGGTTGATGTTCACTTCATCCGAGACAAGGTTTAGTCAGACATTATTGTTACATTTTTTATTCCTTCATCAGAGCAAACTACTGATATGTTTACAAAATCAGTGGGACCATTCTTACTAAAGTCGTCTAAAGCCAAGTGGCCTTGGTTAATATCTTCGCTCCAGCTTGAAGGGGGTGTGTTGGAAACTCGACTTTATTTTTCTTTCCTTATGTTAAGGCTTGATGTGCTCCCTATGTTAAGGCTTGATGTACTCCTTTCGTATATATATAAAGAGTGACTAGTCTCGTTAAGAGTCAAGCCAATTTACACATTTTTACTTTTGTAAGAAATTCACATCAGTATATCCCCATAACTAAGATATTTAGGTGGTGTTTTATAAAACTCAAAATTAAGTACTGCTGAATTTTAAGCGCTGAAGTTCTTAAGCGGTTATTAAAAAAAATATATTTTTTTAAAATTTAAAAAAAAAAATCAACGTTAATATATTTCATCTAATTGACATGATCATCTTACCATCTACTGCTGAAGAAAGCTCCTCTTCACTCTTAGCAACAGCATTTCCACGTCCATCATAAGCCAGCCGTTTACTCTTTATCATAAGAGGATAGCCAAATAGGTTACCTGCTCTCTTCGCACTTTCAAAATCATCTATCTGTCTTGACCAAATTTCAGAGTCAAATACTCAAAAAATACCCTCAACGAATGTTTTCAGGGAAAAGCAAAACTAGCAACCTACTTAATGACAGTAGCTAACCTGCATAAACTCAGGAAGTGGAATAGCATGCCGAGAAAAATGAACTTTTTGAAGATATTTATCCTGTAAGGGAAACAGGGTCCGCGTAAGTAAATTATTTCATCATGTAAACCAACTAACCACTCAAAATCTTTGTGCGACTATTTCACCTTTAAGAAAGTTAAAATAAAAAAAACAATCATCTTTAGCATTTCCTAACTGTATTCAGTTAAATTGGTTTTTCGTTACCAAGGTAGCCAATATCGAGACTGTGAATAGGATTAATACGTGGTCTTTGGTATTGAATCAGAAATTGTAAGATCCTATGTAGTAGAAAGAGAAGACGATAATCTACTTATGCGTTTAGAAACTATGATGGTATTGGAACAGTCAACTGAGCGAGACAAAATTCACAACACTGATAGTTAAACAAAAACAGTTACAATATATATATATAGTTATGAATTTTGACAAAAGAAGAAATGACATAAAACTAGGTATAATTTCAAAGAATTTACTTGAAGCAAATATAAAAATGAAAGTTTTTATAACTGGAACGTGTAACATATTGTCTCCCATTCTGACCTGTAGAAATCCTCACATTTCTAAAGCAAAGCAAAGCAAATGGAGTTTAAGTAAAATAATTTTAAGTCACAAAGCAAAATAGGGTCTTGTTTTTCATTCTATACGATTGTTATTTTTCTCCATAGATATATCTTCTTTCTTTTCCATAAAAGTTTTGGTTACCGCCAGAAGAAATTAATGAAGTTTATAAGATTAACAAATGAAGTTTGAACAAAAATAAATGAAGAAAAAGATTAAACTGATTAACATGACAATATTCCTGCTGTAAAGTACTCAGCTAAATTAACCAATTGTATGGCAATGCCTGCAAGCAGAAAAACATTTTTCGATCATCTATACTCAAAAGAAGTGATTTTTCAATGACAAAGGCTCAAAAAGATGGCCCAGTGATCCAGAGAAGAATGGATCTTCACAGTACGACCAAATAAAGATTTTGTTATTGTGAATATATTCAAAACCAAATATTCTTCATAATAAAGCCAAAGTTGTGCCTGGGGAAATAATGCGTCACAATCTTCTATGAGTTGTATTCAAATCCAAAGAGACATACCTGGATAATTCGAATAGTAGAGGCCTTTGGTTGGCAATCTACTCCTTGTTGTTCAAGCTTCTCAAGCGTGGCAACATCAACATGCTCAATTTCAACCGTCAACACTCCACACCTAACTACATAATTTCAAATTAGCTTGTAAAAAAGTCACTTCGACAAAACAATACTAAAGCATAGTCATCAAGAGAAGTGGAATAAACATTCGCCAATAAAATTAATCATCAACAATCCCAAGCAAAGCCAACCTTTTCGCGAATTCTTCAATTGTGGCACTATCATCATAGCTTCCCACCATATGATAGTGGGACAGTGCACTTGCTGGGCAATTCTCCATTGGATCCAAAACAAACACCTTGACTGCCATTTGGGAAGCAGCTTGACAAAGCATACGACCCAATTGCCCTCCTCCCAGTACACCCACAACTGTTTCCGACAGTCCGTGTACAGGTGCATTATCCTTCCTATATATATAAAAATTATTCAAAATTATTTGAAGCCCCTTTAAAAAGAAGTATTGGGTCTGTCATTCACATAAAACAAATCGAATATATGTATGTTGGGTGTGTGTATTACCTGTGAGAAGTGTCCTGAACTTCGAGGGATGCTCTACAAGGGAAAGTAGGAGTAGCACTCTGCTTCAGCATGAAATAGGAAGAACCCTTTTCTACGCTGCAATCCATTGGAAACCCTAATACAGTGCTTCGTCGAGAACTGAAAGCTAACCCAATACGGTGACAACTAAGTAGTGCTGCAGAGTTGCTCAGGTTCAGCATTCTGCAACTCTCTCTCTCTATCTCAACTCACTATTTATAGTAAACCAACAATGTGTGAAAAAATTACAGTAATTTGATGTTCATCTATATGAATTCAAAAGGACATAATATTTTAAATAAATATAACATAAATCTAATTAAAAAACAGATACGAGAGCGAGAGAAGAAAATTTTGCAATCTTGAGCTTTTTTCTAAGAGTAATCGGTGTACATCAAGTTCAGATTTGAGGATGAGAGAGGAATTACAGACCTGGGTGGCCAGTCGTCTCCGGTGGTCGTGATAGTCGCCGGTCGATTCAGATGTGTGAGTGAGTGAGTGTGTGTGTGTGAGAGAGAGAGAGAGTGTGTAGGGCTTTCAGTTGAGAGGATGGGGGAGAGAGAGAGAGAGAGAGAGAGAGAGAGGCGCCGTTTATAACTTCATCAGAGGTTTTATAGTAGGGCTCTAACTGTGAACAGTATAGTGCCAAAAAAGTGTTAAAAAATTTTTAATTATCAATGAATATTAGTTGATATAAAGGGAAAAAAAATCAATTGACATTAATTTACATGATATAATATTTTAATATATAAATAAAAGTTAAATATTCGAGTGAAAATAGTTGATAGATTAAATAATAATTGAGTGCTAAAAGACTCCGTGAACAATATAGTATATTCAATTTTTATTATTTATATACATTCTCAATTGATAGATTAAATAATAATTAAGTGCTAAAAGATTCCGTGAACAATATAGTATATTCAATTTTTATTATTAATATACATTCTCGAGAATGTATATTAATAATAAAAATTGAATATACTATATTGTTCACGGAGAGTTAATGCCTTTTAAAATTCAACTATTTTTTAAATGAGAATGTATATAAATAATAAAAATTGAATATACTATATTGTTCACGGAGAGTTAATGCCTTTTAAAATTCAACTATTTTTTAAAGTTTCCTCCTAAATGACTTGTCATTTCTTTTTTTTGTTTTTTTAAGGACACATTGGTTGAGTGTCATTTGGAACAATGTGATGCAACATATATTGAGAGAGAGGAGATCTTCTAAAGAATTTGTGCTAATGCATGTATTTTTTGGAAGGTAAACTAACTGTGAATACTAATCGAATTTGAAAAAAAGATCACACATATATTGCGGTACGACGAACCTTGAAGTACACCTATCTCACAGTATACTGTTACAATGAATATATCATTCCAATCTTGTACATCTGTGCATTTTTTGTTTAGCATGTTATTTAGATGATGATATATTGAAATACTATTTAATTATTGTAAGTGCATGGTATTAAAATCAATTAACTGGCAGCTATACGTTGCAAAAACGATGAATATTTCAATGCTTCAAGTTATTATATTGTATTTTTATTGTTGGTGACAAGAAAAGGTGATTTGCCTGTGAGTTTAATTTAGTAAAAGATTAAAATTGGTTTGTAATATAAGGTTTTGACTCTTTAATATGCTAAGTTGGTTATGTATCCATTGCATAATTTTTATTTTTATTTTCACTAACATTATTTTTGTTTGGATATAAAATATATCTTTTTTATTTTCTAATGTAGGGTTATCATAAAATATTTACGAAGAAAAAAAAACTATTAAAATCTAACAAGAATAACTTATGAACTATCTTGACCTAAACATTTGCCATACACTAAAAAGCCTTTGCCAAAAAAAAAAAAAAAAATAGAAGGTATTTTACATCAAAACAATCTTAGTCTAAAGTTCTTATTAGTAACAGCAATATGTACACTAGGGGTGGCAATTCGTGTTTGTGGGTTTTGTTCGTGTTGTGTTGATATAAGGATATTATACTAAATAGGTAAACTCAAACCTAACTTATTTATTAATTGTATCAAGAATCCTCAATACTAACCTAACTCGTTTATTAAATAGATAAACGTGTTTACTCGTTTAATGACTTGTTTATAAAAAAAAAAATTTAATATTTAATCAAATATTAAATAATAGAAAAAAATTATCACAATTAATCCAAATATTCAAAATAAAATGAAAAATCACAAAGCATAGACAAGGTTTATGTTGAAATAACTTAATTATTCATAGTAATTAGATTTTAACAGGTAACATATTACATATATCATATTCACGATTATAACAGTTGAGTTAAATGGGTTATAAACGGGTTACACAGGTTGAACACCTCAATCCTAACATGACACGGTTAAGTAAACAGGTTAATTGTGTTGACTCTTTTATGACCCAAACCCGTTTATGCCAAACCCAAACTCTTTTAACTTATGTCGTGTCATAATTTGTCACCCTTAATGTACGTTAATGTTTTTCTTTTACAAAAATAAAAATAATAATTTAAAAAAGTTATTTGAAGGACATAATTACTAAACAAACAATAATTACTAATATAACTTCCAACATTTTTTACCTTGTTAAAAAATAATAATAATAAATAATATTTTCGTTAAATTTTATAGGATAAAAACAAAAAAAATCGCCTAATTGATTTCGAAAAGAACAATGCTTGCCTTAGGCTCTCTTTCTTATAATGAGGTGGCCCAATAAAACATCAACGGGTATTAAAGTTTTAAAAGAAAAAAAAAATGATGACTACAGGCTCTCACGCAGCGATATATATTACTTCTTTATTTTAAATCTAAAATCAAACAATGTTTATTTTTAATTTTCGTACATCACCACCATCATAAATTCACAAAGTTTAGTGATTTTTAATCAGTTATTTGATTTTCAAAATCGTACAAGTCACTCAATTATCTTTACTCGGTAAATATCTTTATCTAGAACATCAATAATCTATTTTACTTCCTTTGTATATGTGTGTAGATTTATAACTGTAATTTATAATTTTTTTTCTTTGTGTTCTTTTTCTGAATCTCAAAGACGTTATCGAAGCTTCATACTGGAACCAATAACAACTTGCAAGTTTAGATTTTATTGTCTTTAAATTTTGTTTGTTTGATTTTAGATTCAAAACATAGAAATAATATATATGGCTGCCTGAGAAAGAAAGAGCGAAGGATCACTTTGTATTCCGTGTAGTCATCATTTTTTTTTTAAAAAAAAGAAAAAAAAATTTTAACACCTGTTGATATTTTATTGAGCTATCTCATCATAAGAAGGAGATTCATTTTTATGCTCAAGACAAACATTGTTCTTTCAAAAATATATTTTGATCAATATTTTGGATACCATTACATTGTTATTACGCTATCAACTAATACCGTAAACTAAAAACTACACTTTTTTTTTTTTTTTTTTTTTTTTTTTTTTTTTTCCGTATGCACTTAATGGTTATATGCAAATATTTTTCATTGATCAATAAATCTTATCTTAGTTTTTATTTTTAATATTATGAATCTATATTTATTTTTAATATTATGAATCTATATTAAGACTCATATCGTGTATATGTATTTTTTTTATTCCTCTTTTACCCTTTATATTATGTTTCTCCCCGATAATTAGATATAATAATACGACTGGAGTGCCAATCCTGAAGTATATGCTTCCCTGTAGAATATAATATAAATGCCAAAAATGAATTATTGCATACTTTATTGTAATGAACTTGTAAATCTATTTAGGGTTTGTTTGGTAAGGTGGAAGTAGTGGTAAAGAGAGAGGAGGAGGAGGAGGAGGAGGAGGAGGAGGAGAAGAAGAAGAAATTAAAATTTTTAGCAGCTGATTTTCCCCAATACTTTGTACTTTATCCTTCCATTTAATTTATCAGTTATATATATTCATCTCTAAAAATAAAAATAAAAAAATAAAATTGAATAGCATACTGTAATTTACCCACAATTAATCCAATTGAAGGAAACATGTTAGGCTCAGTTTCGTATGCTTGGATAAAATAGAGTAAAATGATACAAATTCTATGGAATATTGTCGAGCTGGCTCATGTTGATTGTCATTTTTATTTGTTTTAAGCTTGTCCTTTAAATAAAAAAAGAAACAAAAAATAATTCAGATTTTCAATATGGAATGAAACTAGTAATTAATTACTACTGATAACTTTTATTTTTATTTTGTTGTTAATTGTAAACCATTGATAATATATTTGTTGTTGAATTAATAAGCTCAATTTATTATAGATAATAAAATATGGTGCAAGAAAAACACATGTAATAAATCTAATAATATAATTCGATTTTTTTAATTTAAAAAATGTGAAAATATTCATACGAAAAAATACAAACATAGATATGTTCGGGTATAATATTTTTTGTTTAAAAGTTCGCCATAGAATATTTTCATTTCAATGAAAGATTAGTAATAATATTAATATAAACTTTCATCATGTCACATTATAAAAAGAATGTAAAAATTAATCAGAAATAAAGTAAATAAAAGCAATTTATTCATAACCACAACATTATATATATATATATATATATATAGTTATTTATATAAGGAGATAAAGCTATCATCTAATTTATTTTGAAATTTTTAGGAGTTTTAATTGAACTCAACCACCGGATATATATGTATAGGTCTAGAATTAGTTGTATTAAGTTTTTACCAACGTTGCTATCTTGAGGATTCTACGCGTTCGTTGTTGTGAAGCGAAGTAAAGTCAGGCAAGTTAATTCTTGCTTATATTTCTTTATGTATATTTTTGGTGTGGTTATTATCATGAATGTTTATGATTTAAATATAGATCAAGTGGAAATTGATTTTAGTCTGAGCTTTGGAGATTGCATATGTAAGTGTAGAATTGAATTGATGATAAGGAACTATATGATGTTTTATACTGTTTGCGGGGTTTATTAATTTACTAGTGGATTTATACAACAGTTCAATAATGCAATGTGCAAGTGTATGGTTATGGTGTAGTTTTCAATCATATTAAGATTGTTAGTTTTATATTAAGTTTGATAGATGAACTTAGTTTTTCTTTATATAGTCATGAATTAGTGTGAGCCAATTAATCATGTAATACCCCTAATTTTTGAAAGGATAGTCTCGGTAATTTGTTTAATTGTTTTCTGTTTATTAATTATTTTTGGTTCATTAATTTGTTTAATTGTTTTCTGTTCAGTGTTATTTGAATTAATTAGTTAGTTTATTTGTTTTCTTTGGGTTAATTAATTATTTGCATTCTTTACATTAATTGGAATTTTTATTTGTTTCTTTAATTGAATTAGTAGTTAACTTGGAATTTTTATTGTTGAATTAGTAATTACATGTTTTAATTTGTGACTAGGTATAAAAGTGTGGTTAGGGTTTTAGTTCTGTTTAGGTTTAGGTTTATTTAAGGAGCCGACAAGGTTTATAACCTAGGTTGAGTTTATGGGCCTCGTTTCAGACTGTAGGTATAATTGGACTTAGGGTTTTGGTTGCCTATAAATACATAAGAAAAGTCTGCTTAGGGAACAAAATA